AGTCCTCCCACGATGACCGGTCCAGCGGAATTCACGTCTTCACGCTTATACTTTGACTCCCAGGAGTGTGACGTCCACGAAAGAACGTTGTCACCGCTCTATCTCCAGTGTCTAGGAAGGTGTGTGCCACACACCGGGGGCTCCGTATCTCCTCGCCGAAGGGAGGAAGACACTTAAGTGTTCCGCAGCCCCCAAAAAACTGCGCGGACTTCTGCTTCTTAGATCGTGTTTTCTTCGAGATGGAGTCTTCACCTTTCTTTTGCAGACGATGTTCCTTCCTCCCCTTCTTCTGGGTTCTCTTGTTCCTCCGGCTTCCGAGATATAATTTATATACCACCCAGTTCCCCAGCTGAAGTTGTAATGAGCTTTTTTTCACTCAGCGTTTCGGAGGCTTACCTGTGCTGCAGCATGGGCCAGTACATTCCTTTTTATGACCAAATAATATTCCGCTGTACAAAGAGACCACGTTTTGTTTATGCATCAAGTTGATGGACGTCTGGGTCGCTTCTACTTTTTGACTATTATGAATGATGCCGCTATCGACAAGTTTTTTTGTAATTTTTTAATTTTTTGTTTATGGTGACATTGGTTCACAAAATCCAATAAGTTTCAGCTGAACACTTTAACGGTAAGGCGTATATATATTTACACTCTGTGTTCACCTGTCATAGTGAGATTTCTTTCTGTTACCACATGTGACCCCCTTTACCCCGCCTACCTCCCCCTTCTCCCTCCCCCTACCTTCTGGAAACCACTAGCCTATAGTACATGTCCAAGAGGTTTATATCCCACAAGTAAGTGATAGCGTGTGGATTTTCAACTTTTTCTATCTGGCTTATTTCGCTCAGCAGGATCATCTCGAGGTCCATCCACGTTGTCGCAAATGGCAGTATCTCATCTCTTCTTATGGCTGAGTCATATTCCATTGTATATCTGTGCCACAGCTTCTTTATTCAATCATCTGTCATAGGACACTTCGGTTGCTTCCATGTCCTGGCCACCGTGAATAGTGCTGCTATGAACATCGGTGTGCAAATCTCTTTTCGGATATGAGTTTTCCAAGTCTTTGGGGTAAACACCCAGTAGAGGGATGGCTGAATCATATGGTAGATCAATTCCTAGTTTTCTGAGGAAGCTCCATACTGTTTTCTACAGTGTCTATACCAATCTGCAGACCCACCAGCAGTGTATGAGGGTTCCTTTTTCTCTACATCCTCTCCGGTATTTATTACTTGTCCTGTCAATTATAGTTATTCTAACAGGTGTGAGATGGTATCTCATAGTTTTGATTTGCGTTTCCCTAGTAGCTATTGATGCTGAGCATCTTTTCAAATATTTGTTGGCCATTTGTATGTCCTCTAGAGAGAAACGTCTGTTCAGGTTCTCTGCCCATTTTTTTAGTTTTTACGCCTACAGCACCTGGTCTTCCTAGGTGGTCTCCCATCCAAGTACTAACCAGGCCCGACCCTGCTTAGCTTCCGAGATCGGATGGGATCGGGCGTGTTCAGGGTGGCGTGGCCATTGGGTCTGCCCATTTTTTGATTGGATCGTTTTCAACAAGTTTTTATAGGTCTACCCATTTTCGTTTTTCTTGGGCACACGTCTAACATTGCTGAGTCACAAGGTGACTCTCTACTGTTTCCCAAAGTGGCTGCAACCATTTTGCAGTCCCCCCAGGACCGTGAGGGCCCCGTCCCTCCACCTCTGCAGCCCTGGTGGTCTCGCGGCTGGTGGCTGGGACGCGGAGCCCTCCCCAGGTTCCTCCACCTCCTCCCTGATACTACTGTCTGCCATTTTATTAGTCACTCCAGTGGGCGTGAGGAGTCATTTTTTTGTGTTCTTTTGCAATGTGGGCAACTTCGTGACATCGGGTGAGTCAATTTTTCCACTTTCTCTCTGAGCAGTTCGAAAGCTGCATCCTGTGCTCTGTTCGATGTTTGTAGCCTGACAGCCAGGTAAAGGAGGACTCGGCTGAAGTGATCCTTGCTGGGGAGCATCTGGTCTCTGGTGTCTTTACTGAGATTTCTAAATGTCCCGAGCAGCGTCTCCCCTGGTCGGGAGGTGGGTCCGACAAGCCCCAGGGGCACCCTCGGCTGTGGGCCTCCCTCTGGTTCCGCCTCGACGCCCCACACCCGAGAACCAGCGCTGGCCCCTGCCGGCCTC